AGCAATCGCTGCCCCCTGGCCAACTCCCCCCAGTTTATATATTTAGCATGATGTCATATGGTATGGAGTAGCCCTTTGGGCAGTTTGGGTCAACTATTCTGGCTGTGCCCCCTCCCAGTTTCTTGTGCACCTGGCAGAGCATGGGAAGCTGAAAAGTCCTTGACTAGCATAAGCAATACTTAGCAACAACTAAAACATCAGTGTGTTATCAACATTCTTCCCATCCTAAATCCAAAACACAGCACTATGCCAGCTACTAGGAAGAAAATTAACTCTATCCCAGCCAAAACCAGGACAGGTATCAATGTATTGTCCAGAGTCTTGGCATTCCTTGTGGGTTCTTGGTAGTCGTCATAAAAGTGCTGCCTCTTGGTTTTCCTTGTTTCATTAGTGAGAGCTGCCATGCAGTAAGGGCTTGTTTTTCTTCTTGGCCTCTTCAGGGGGAGTAGAGACAAGGAGGAATGATTGACAGTCTAGGGAGTCTGATCATGTCCAGAAATTTCCAAAACATTACTGTTAAATAAGGTCTTAAGGAATTCTTGTCCGTATCTGAGCAGCTGCATAGGATTGCTTCCAGTGACACACTAAAAGTGATCCCTGGAGCTGTGTAAAGGACTTTTTAAAAACAATATTTATGAAGGATCACTCTTGAGATTTCATGAGATGGTTGGGCTGATCTCTTCTTGATAGCTAGCCACCAAGCTGATTTCTCTTCTTTGCAGGAGGGTTATGGGAGTGAGAACGTGTGAATCTCGATGTCTCTTCAGCGGCTCAAAGGGGGAAGTTTGCTGTATTGAACCATTACACGCAAAAGTTGAGCTGAGAGACCATCCTATCACCCAGTATTCACTGCTGGCCATGGCCTCCCTAACAAAGGTAACTTGCTGTTTGCAGAAAGCTTTGTGTGAGAAATCACAAAGGAGAAGTTTTCTGGTATATACTTAAACATTTTATTTTGCCTTTTTGTTTTTCTTGAAAGATACTGGTTATTGGCCTAAAACCATCTCTGAAGGTGTGGATGACATTTCCCTACGGTCGTGTGAGTAATGAAGCCAAACAGTTGCTCTTTGGATTATGGCTACAAACAGTTCCTAGAGTGACAGGGATGAGATTAGGACCAGGTGTTTGGTATGCTACTTTATCAGTACACAGTAAACTCTGCATTGTAGAATTGCAGTGATAATCCGTTGTTCTGGTGTGTGCAGATTGTGGGCAGAGAGGAGGTGAAAAGGTTGCTTCAGCTGTAGCGATGTGAAGATGCTGAATTTCTCCATTAAGTAGGAAGGGAGGGAACACAGGAGCCCCTCAGCTTCTGGTCTTCCTTGCTGCAGCCTAGATGCAGCTACAGATGGGATGTTGACCTGATTATGGCTACAATCACCTTGGACTGGGGCCATTGCTTTACATAAGAACCATACAATAGAACCCTTAGTTGCAAGGACAGAAACAAAGTGGAATTAGAGCGCTAAACAGTCTTCTAAACTCTTGCTTACTCGCTTTCACTAGTTGCTGGTATAATTTCTCTTGGAAAAGCAGCTGGGGAATGCTGTGGCATATGTTGGATTGGGAGAATGGAGACAAGGCTGCTAGCAAGCTGCAGCTTGTCATAGTCCATCAATCCATGTGAGATTGGATCTACATTAAGCAGCTAGGACACAGGTTTTGTTCTGACTGGCTGTCCACTTTGCCAAGAGACACACGTTGCCCCTAAACCATGTGGCTGGACCAAAGGGCACAAGCTACTGCTCAGCTGCCGGCAGACCAGGAAATTGCTTTAAAGCCTGTGTGTGTACATGGCAATGCCAGTGAGTAGCAGCTGATGAACAGCATGTGTCCTGGAACTGAAATTCTGCCTTGCGTACCTTAAATACTGGCTGTGCTTTTTGTCTAACAGATGGACCCTTCTAGTGTCCCTCTTCTGGCGTGGCACTTTGTGGCTGTACAGAACGCTGTGAACCCCATGCTTGCATTTTGTCGAGGAGATGTCGTTCATTTTCTTCTGGTAAGCCTTGGATGTTTTATGCTGCTTTTCGGATAGTCACATCTTACTCGCATATTCAGTTGACTGAGCCTCTGTCTCAGTGAAAGTATGATATCTGCGTGCTAGGGATGTCTGCAGCTTGCAACCAGCTTGGGGACACAAACTTGTTCGTCATTGCTCTTCAGCAAACAGTGGTGCCCTTCCCTGAGAATCTGGAGGCATTGAGCTTTATGCATTCCAGAAGTGTTGACTTGCAGCTTATCTCATTTCTACTGGAGGCAGAAGAATGTGGATTGTTTTCAGGGAGATCACGTGAATTTGAGATAACATTTTATTTTTTGCTTTAAAATATGAGTCTGGAAAAACTTGTATAAACCACTGAGACAACAGCTTTCAGGTCCTGTTGGCATGTGACTTTAGGGCATGCTGCTTGTCCTGTTTAGATCTGCAGAAGTTACATATGCAGATATGGTTGTTTGAAGATGATTTCATGTCTGATTTCAGTATGAGAGCAGTACTTAGGCTTCAGAAAATCTGGCATTTTGGCTTTGGAGTGCTAAGCTTGTTTCCCAGCTGTGCTATCACCTTGGACCTTAAGCTTTGCTCAAGCACCCAGACATTGTGTTGTCTGGATTGAATCCTCTTTCTCCTCTATCTTCTCTCTTGGTAAACTTCTGGAGGAAGAAAATGGTGTATGTTTAAGCCTGTCTTGCTGGAGATGTCTGTGCCTGCAGTAGCACGAGCCTCTGCACAGATACCCAGCTTAGCTTTGGCCAGTGGTGCTGCTCTGCTTATAGGTTACTAAGCAGCAGCCATGTCACCTGCACGCAGGTCCCTCTTGCTGTACTTCAAATTTTCAAAATGTAAAAAACCCCCTTATTTTTCTTTGCAGAATGCTTTTTTTAGTGATGATGAATTAAAGCCAGTTTCACATTAGCGTTCTGTAGTTCTGACTTTACGAGCAGGAAGTACAGTAGTTCCTGCATGGGATGAGGAGAACCCTTGACTGGGAGTTATCATGCGACATCTCCCTTCAATTCAGTATTCCAGTGGGGCTGAGCCCCTTGGGAGTCAGTGAATGAGAATCAGTCCTCCTTTGGTGCTCTCTATACAGATGCTGGAGGTTTGCCCCCTTTTTAGAAACTGAATTGCCTTATATAATAGGTGAGGTGGAGCCGAGGGGAACAATTCCTTGAACACCTGTAGCGCCAGCTTGTTTATGACATACGACTCTTGTAGTACAAATAAATGATTTAAAATTCATCCAGCAGAGGGCAGATGCCTCCTGCCCCCTGCTCAGAGCCTTCTGTTTCCTCACTTACATGAGTGCATTTGAAAGTGAGACGTTACGCTCCATTTGAGAAGCGTGTGTGCTGCTACTGTACGCTCAGCAATCTTCTCTGAGGGGAGATCCAGACTCCTGAAGTTGGTGTGATGCCTTCTGGGAACAGAGAGGTTGAGCTGAGGAAAGTCTTTGAGTTTGAGTCAGCCTTGTCTGATTCCTCTTTTAGGTAAAGAGAGATGATACTGGTGCAATACATGTCACTAAGCAGAGGCAGCTTCATCTACACTATGACCTCATCAACTTTACTGTAAGTCTCAATACTATAGAATTGTTACTTTTTTTTTGCACTCGTTTTCTTGTAAATGTATCTCGATAGCCCTTAGTTCTATACTATCAGCTTTACAAATGTAGCATAAGAAGTGGCTGTGTTTATCTGGGGCTAACTAACTGAAAATGTCCTTAAATTTGGGACTAAGTGGAAAACCAGCACAAGTGAGATAGCAAGTAGTAGCTAAAGGACAAAAAATTAGTAGCATGGAGACAACAATACTGCCCTTTCTTGGGAAGGAGGGGTAGCCTTGTTGAGGAAATATTTTCAAGAGCCAGAGAGAGTCTGGCAAGAAAGATTTTTATTCTATATTCTCACTACAAAGAATGCAAAATTCTGTGTAATTGGCTCAGTAAAATTCTAGTGTTTCCATATATGAGTGCTTGCTAGAGCACCATAATTGTTTGATTCTTTCAACAAAAAAAATTGTTCAACTCTAAAACACATTTACAGAATACAATGAGTAAAACGTGAAAGGCCAAAATACCAAGATGGACATCCACATCAGCTGGAATTTGAAGTTTGTTAACAAATATGCTTGGCTGTTAAAAAAAAAAATAATCTGAAAGCAGTGGAAAAAAGCCTTTTTATTTGCAGGGTTTTGAACATAAAAGTAGAAGCCACAGAATATGAATGACAGGCTTTGAGTTAAACTTAGATGTACTATTTCTCTTTTTAATGCCTCCTGATGCCATATTTACCTCCTAAAGGATTTAAGAACAGGTGGTGTAGTAGTCCTGTTTTTGAGACCTTTGGATAGAAAGTATGCTAGAGCATAAATAGTGCACCAAGAGGACAAGAACTCTGGTGGATTACCATTTGTCTACAGGTGTTTTCTGTGAAGAAGGTTCCTTGTAATTTTTCTCAGCGTTAAAGCTGATACTCCAGAAGGACCCTCCCTATTTTTACCTTTGGAGTTATGCACAGGTGCTGTTTTGAAGTGACCGTGTATAGTAACAAAACTACTAGCCATCCTAGAACTTCCAGTATTGATACTCAGGCATATGGTCAGAGCCTGTTTAGTTGGCCTCTAATTGTGTATGCATTGCTGAAATCTGCAATTTGTTGCTTTGTCAGTGGATAAACTCACGGACAGCAGTGCTTCTGGACAGTGTGGAGAAGCTGCATGTTATAGATCGTCAGACACAGGAGGAGCTGGAGACCATAGAGATCTCAGAAGTTCAGCTAGTCTACAACAGCAGCCACTTCAAATCGCTGGCTACAGGAGGCAACGTCAGCGAAGCCCTGGTAGGCACAAATGACCTGCTTGTGTTAGCTAACTGTTTCAGAACAGTGGCCCTAAGTGGAAGCCTGAAGCTTTGGAAAAAAGCCTTTTTGAAGCATCTCAGAAGTCATACGTGGTGTTGATGTGGCTAACTGACAGACGGTTCATGTTTCCTTTTGTGCACTGATGTTTTTAGGAGCTGCTCTTAAGTTACTAAGGTTTGGAATACTCTATATAGGGAAAAAGCTGATGTGCTTTATTCTTCAAGAGATGACTATAGCCTTTTCTACTTTGTATGCCACAGTGCCTGTGCAGTACATGCATTCCCTGCCCTCATCTCGTAGATTGTCACGCAGGGGTAGAGAGGATGAAACATAGTATCTGTGCTTGTAGGTACTACAGTTCTTTTCTTGTTTGAAGTAAAACAACAAAACCATCCATGCTAGTGGAAGTTGCAACACTTCAAACATTGTGCTTTCTACACTTTCCTCTTTTGTTTTATTTGTCTGTCTTTTTTTTTGACTTTCATGCTTGGTTTGGGTTTTTTTTTTCTGGACCCTGGCCCACCTGGTGTCTAGACATGTTCTGTTCCTGAAGTAGGTGTTATTTTCAGTGGCTCCTGGTAGCTCCTGTAACCCACCTGTGCCTTCTGCAGCAGACTCACTTTGATGTGGTATTTGTATTGCCATAGCATTGTGGAGGTTTTTTTAAAGCCATGATTGTGGGATGAGTTATTGCCTTCAGTAAAAAATCATTTTCTCTTATTTTGGAAACAGTTTGCCAAGAGTGTGTGTAGGAAAGGGCCTTCCATCCTTGCATTCAAGCCTCCCAATGCTTCAGAGATAGCCCAGGGGTTCTGAAATTCCACAGCTGGACAGTATGGTTCCTATTTAATTCTGCTATAGCCCTGTGAGACTTGCTGGCCCAAACAACTAGCAGAAGGCTCATGTGGGTCTGTAGTTTGGATTGCAATTTCAAGCCCAGCATATGGTCATGACAGCTTCAGAAGCCCAAGGAGAAGTGCCTTCAGTGCAGGATGGCAGGATTTCATAAAAAAGACCTCTTTGTCATTGTTCCCTTTGAGCACCAAGGAACAGAGTGCTTCTTCCAGTCTGAATCATAGAATCATAGAATGCTTTGGGTTGGAAGGG